AGTGAAGTAACAATACTGAGATTTTCCTAAATTTAAGGATAGAAAGCACATGATAGATCCAGGAAGCTCAGAGAACACTAAAGTGCAGGATAAGTACGCCACATACAAACTAGACAGAAGTCAAGACAAAGAGAATATATTGAAATAAGTGAGAAGAAAAAGCACCTTAGTCATTAAAAAACAAAGATTAGAATTAAACCAGGCTTCTTTTCAAAAACCATGCTAGCTTGAAGAGTGAAGAGAAATATTTCAAGGTCTGAAAGAAAAAAACCACTCTCCTACAATTGTGACAAGCAAAATTATCCTTCCAAAATGAAGAAGTAAAAACTTTCTGAGACAAAGATTGCAGGAATTGTTCATTAGTACATCCACCTGGAAAACATTCAAAAATTCATTAGAAAGAAAGCAAATGATAAAGGTAAGGAGTTACAAAAACATGAAGGTTAACAAGTCTTTCGTATTTCTTAAAACTAATATAACAGATGACACTTTGCTGAAAATAATATTGTCAACAATTTATTTGACAATTATAAGCTTATGGATAATTGACATAAATGACAAGGTTACAGGGACAGAGAGGAGAAAACTGGGAGACAGTATAAGGTACTTGCACAACCAGTGCAGTGGTATACTATGACTTAATATAGGAGATGACTTAGATGTAAATGTATAATGAAAATTCAAGAGCAATCACCAAAATACTTTTTAAAATATGTGTAATTGATATCCTAAGACAGTAGAAGAAAAGAATCAGGTAAAATGTTCAATTAAAGCCAAAGAAGACAGAAAAAGGTAGAAAACAAAAAGTAACAAATAACAAGGCCAACATAAAAAAGAAAGAAGATGTCAGAAGCATGATGGCTTGACGGGTCCCTTGATCTCTCTCCTTGACACTACAAATTGAACAGCTATAATCCAATGGAAGATTTCCAGCCTAACACATAAACACTTCTGAGATCTGCTCAGCAAACCATCTGAAGGCGAATTGGGCAAGCAAGGGAGGAGGAAACAGATTGTAGCATGTACTCTATGTAGCCCTGAGCATTTCTGCCTAAGTGATCAGCATGTACTACTGGAGAACCCAGTGATCAGAGAAGAGACAGAATTCAGAGGTATGGCAGCTGTGTTCTAGGAGCTGCTACCATCAGGCAGAAAACAGAGACAAAAAGCCTGGCTGCCTCTACCCACTCTCCTACAAGTCACCTCCCTGCACCGTCCCAGAGCTAGCAACAGGTCCCAGAGGAAGCTGCAGCAGTGAGTGTCAGGCTACAGACCAGGAAGTCCGGAGCCCCAAGAACTGAGGAGACAGGTTCTGCATGGCAGACACACACTGAGGCTGGTCCCATTGGCAAGGGTGGAGATACAGAGGGAAGGCAGTTGAGGCCTGGCAGTCACCATTACAGGGAAGAAACAGAGCCACAGGCACACTGGTGGCCTCTCCCAACCCACCCCACACCCACCCATCCAGTCTGACCCCGGCACAGGTACCTGGGACACCTGAGGTAGCACTGCACTGCATCTAGCCACCTGGGCAGCACCAGGACTTCAGGGGCTCTTCACAGGCTTGAAACTCCAACATCTTCCCATGGGGTGGAGCCTTGGGACTCCGGCAACCAGTTTGCAGAGGAGACATACATCTCCCCAGGAAATAAAGGACATTTTTCTTTTGCTCCCCAGCAGCGCTCAGGAGTTCTGGGCAGTACAGGTGGCTTGTGTGCCAATGACTGGAAAAAAACCTCTTCTTATCAATGGGCTCTAGAGTCATTATTATTATTAATAATATTTTTAAAAGCAGAGTTCATTCCCATAAATGCATAGGTGGAGAAACAGTCAATCACATATCATGTATACAAAGGTAACAACACAGCTCAAAAGAATCTTTAAAAGCTCCAGAAAATAAACTTAAAGATATGGAAATAGGTGATTTAAATCATGCAGAATTCGTGATTGCAG